ACCATGGATAATATGAATATCCATATTATCTACCGATTAATCCCTTTTCTATCCGTATCAAATATATGAGTCGAGTAAAATATTTTATCTATTTTTGCATTATCTATTTTCGACCTGCTCATATCCGACCTGACACATTTATTTGCCACTCCAAGTCAGGACGTCTTGTGTGTATTCAGGTTGTTCTTCCTATCAATGGAAGTCGTAAGATGATTCTCTAAAAACAATTTGGAAAAAAAAGAGTAATATTAATGTTGCGCGTGAGCATAATAACGTAGGTACACAATGTTAGAAAAGAAATTGATAATATTGACCAAGAATAATAAGAGAATAGAAATAACTTATCGAATAAATACTGTGTCGTGGCAAACCACTGCCTTGAAAGCGATTTCAGTCTGACTGGGTGCAAATCATTAAGACCGGTCGCTTCCCAAAGTTCCACAGTACTCCCAAACACGTACACTCATGGCTGGAAGTTTGGAGTTTGTAAAAAAAGATTTACCCAGGAAAATAGGAAGAAGAATAGTCTTTTGAGAGGATAAGAGAATACATGTTTTGGTGGTTAATTAGCTCACAAATTATGATACTTATATAGGCAAATCATCTATGTTTTCTTCCATCAGAAAATGTAAGAAGCCAAATAGGAGTTAATGTTATGTAACATTATTCTTGGTTTAATGGCAAAATTGTCATAAAGACAGTAACTTCAAACCTTCTTAAAAGTTTGTATCTTTTCACAAATGAAGTCACAAAAATTAAGGAACCGTCGTATGAATGAATATGAACTATTTCTAAAGTAGTAACTTTATTCTCCCACTCTGCATATACATAAAATCTAGAAATGTTACAAAATATTAATGGTGTAGAGGTATGAGAATTAACCACAAATTAATTCTAGATTAGAAGTGTTCTTTATCCTTTACATTATCAAATTAGAGTATAATGCCTAAAGAGAAATAATACCAACAAATCCCCACTGATAAAAAGATAAAGAATAAGAATAGTTTTCGGGTAAAAGGAAGGAACATGTACTTAAGTGTCAATATCTTTCGATTTAAATTGTCACGTAGTAAAATGAGGCAACGACTAATATCCATAAAGTGAAGTACTCTTGAACTGAATGGACAAGAGTTGAGACCCCCACAACACATACTATATCCTTAATTTTATGAAAACTCCGCAATACTAATAAAGTACGTATGGTCATGCACATACCTTGGGTCTCACGAGTGCTCTAGAAAGACATCACAAGTCTTTCATAAAAGGCGACCGCACCTTAACACTCACGTAAGTGATTCCACCATGTCTAATGCGGATGACTTTTTTTTTCCATTGTACACACTTTTCTTGCCAGTTGCCGCTTGTGAGTCAAAATGTAATGAAATGGGTGAAGTTTGTCTTCCCTATAAAGGCAAATCTGTCAATAATTTTCTTAGCCATTCAGCTTTTTGCCCTATTAACTCAAGAGCAATAAATTTCAATTTGTAACGACCCGACCGGTCATTTTGAGCATTTGCACTTCGCTCGTTAGTTTGGGGGTATGAGTAGCTCCGTATGATGTATTATGACTGGTGTGTATCGTCGTTTTAAGTTTTCAGGTAATTCGGAGTTTGATTTGGAAGAATGAATTTCATCGTTGAAGCTTTAAGTTGGAAGAGTTGATCAATTTTAACTTTTATAAATTTGACCTCGGAACGGAGTTTTGATGGTTCCGTTAGGTCCGGATGGTGATTTTGGACTCGGGCGTATGCCCGGATTTGCATTTAGATGTTCCACGAAGGATTCGACACTAATTGGCGGAAGTTAAAAATTTAAAGGTTTGAAAAGTTCATAAGTTTGACCGGAAGTTGACTTTGTGGATATCAGATTCAGATTGTGGTTCTGAGAATTATAATAGCTTCGTTACGCCATTTGGGACTTGTATGCAAAATTTGAGTTCACTCCGAGTTGATTTGTTATGTTTCGACGCGAGTTTTGGAAGTTGAAAGTTCAAAGTTCATTTAAGTTTGATTTGAGGTGCGATTCATCATTTTGATATTTTTATGAGTAATTTGAGGCCTCGAGTAGGTCTGTGTTATGTCATAAAACTTGTTGGTATATTCGGACGGGGTCCCGAGGGGCTCGGGTGAGTTTCAGACGTGGTTCGGATCATTTTTCATCTTGTTGCATTGTTGAAGATTTGCTAGTACTGGTGTGATGCATCTGCGGAGTCTTGGTCGCAGAAGCGACTTTGCAGTTGCGAGCTATCCATCACATAAGTGAGAAGAGGTTGGGTGAGGAAGATCGCAGAAGCGGAGAATTTGGCGCATATGCGAGGGCGTATGTGCGACGAATTGGAACGCAGGTGCGAAGGGGTTCGCAAAAGCGGAGTCTTTCTACCGCAGGTGCGAGGGGTGATGGGTCAAGCTGCTTTCACATAAGCGAAGCATTTTACCGCAGAAGCAGGGGTGGCAGATGGGACAGTGTGACCGCATATGCAGAATTTCTTGGCAGAAGCTATAAAATCGAGGTTTTTGGTCCTTTTATCATATTTTGAGATTTGGGGATCGGGGTGAAGCGATTTGGGAGGCAAATTTCATCACAAAAATTGGAGTGACTGTTTTATACTCGGTTTTGATTATATTTTGTGATTCTATCTTCATTTTTGGTAATTGAATTATGAATTTTAAAGAGAAATTGGGGGTTTTAGCCTAAAGTTTCATATAATGAGTTTTTGAGTTTTGAACATCGATTCGGAATCGAATTTGGGTGAAACTAGTATGGTTTGACTTGTAATTGAATGAGTTGTCTTATTTTATAAGTTTCATCGAGTTCTGAGGTGCGGGGTCCTGGTTGGACTTTTGGTTGATTTTGGGATTTTTGTTTTAGGCAAATTCCACTAGGCGTTGCGCCTAAGGAGGTGGACATGAACCTTACCTCCAAAAATATGACGGATATACACTTGGTCATCCAAGCATGACGTCCAAGTGAATCCTGAATTTTGATGAGTTAGATCTCTGATGATGTACCAATTGTCTATTCTTAAGTGATAGACAATTTTGTATACAAAAACAATGTTAAATGAGTCTAGGTTAACTATACAAAAATGCACAAATGATCCTAAATCAACTAAACAGATGAGTAGGAAGGTCATCTTCCATATATAACAAGACCTACATCTAGACTAAATGTAGATTCTTCCTATGGAATATGGCAAAAAACAGTCAAGTGCGATAGAAGCTATCTTCAACTTGGCTTTGACATTGATGCCAAAGAAAGCCAAGTTGATGATAGATATCAAAATGACCCATGTAACTGGGCAGAACTGTTGTTGCTGTATGATGTTTTCGACAGAAGAGAATGAGCAGATTCCTGCTTCTTTCATCCAGAATACTTTGGAGCAGGCAGGTTAACTGGTGACCTGGAGTATGGACTTTCATACGCAACATCCTTCCTGAATCTGCTACTGCATTCTGTAAACTTTTGCTTCTGTGAGTTGATAGAGTGCAGGATAACTAGGTTTGGGCCCCTAGGTGTGTCCAGTTGAGTGCCTGCAGAGGAAGCAGGTTGGTGCTTATGTCTAAAAGTATCCATTTGAGCAGGAACTTTCTGCTGATGCGTTGAAGAATAAGGTGTTTGATGTTGGTGTTTAGGTGTTGAGGTCCTGGTTTGTGTAGTAGTGTCTTTTTAAGAGCTGCATGTTGGTGTATCAAGCTATGTAGGTTGGTTGAAAAACCTGAGGATTCTCTAAGGGATGTTGCCAGAAATGTTTGTCTGTTGTGACACATTTACAGAGTTCTTGTGATAGACCCAAGAGGTGATTGGTACACTTGCAAGAGATTGAGTATCTAAGATGCTAATACCACACTTTGCAAGTGCATCAATAATTTGAATCTGTCTCTTGTACATGCAAAAAGCAACAAACAAGTTAGAACTAAAGGGTGCTTGGGTTGGTCAGTGTTCATCTTTGGGGAGTTGCAGGCATTGACAACAGTGAGTTGCAAGTCTTGTGAGTTGCTGCTCTTTGAATACTGAATGGATGTGATGATATATGTGCCCAGGTTCTTGTGGTTTCTGGGGGTAGATTTGTTCTAGAGGTACCAGTTGCTCGGGTGGATTTCAGGAAGCTGGTGTTGATGAGTTACTGTGAATCCTTCAGGTAGGTATTGGAGCTAATTATGCTTAATATTGTAGTTGCTACTAGCTTTAGTCAATTGATACACCCTCAATAGGATGAGCACTATAAGTACTAATACCACACATTGTGGGTATGTCAATTGTTTTAAACTATAGGTACCTGCAAAAGTGAAACCATAGTTAGAGAAAAACAGGACATTTTTGTCAGATGGGTGGGCATCCAGGTTCTTGTGTTTACTGGTCCCTGAAGAAATGCTGGTATGGTGGTGGTGTTTTGGTTTTTGGAAACATTGAAGGTGATTTAGATTGCTGGATGGTAGTAGCTTTGTGATGATGGTGTGGTGTATAACTGAATTCCTGGTTGTTTGGTGTGGGCCTGAGTTGCAGATATATATGATGAGGTTGTTTGTGGTGTTACTATTTATGTTTCTTCTGATAGAGGCTAGGGAAGGTGTATGTGTGTGTGTCCTTAAGAGTTGGTGCTTTTGTTTGTGTTGGTGCTGTTTTGGAATCCAAGTGCAGCCATAGAGATGGCACCATATGCCTGCTCCAATCCTCTGATTGATTTCCAGTAGAATGAACTCCAAAGGTGTTGATACCACACACTGAAAAGGAAGCATTAGACATGGCAGGATATCAGTGGATTCACTTGCAAAAAGGAAAAAAACTATTAGATGAAAACATAGTGTCATAGCCCTTTTCCTGAAAAGTTTGAGCAAGTTGGTATGATTGAAATTTCTGCCATAGAACTTTGGTGTTTGGACTGTATGGTCTGCTCCCAGGTATTTCCGATGTTCAACCATATCCATTAGAATTGGAGGTGGAAGTGTGATTTGATAAAGGCTAAAGTTTGCTTGTTTTCTTATGTCTGAAAGCTGGGGTGTTCATTTGGTCAAGTCTGATTCGACCTCTGATTTGCCTGGGAAGGTCAAGAATGTTCTCAAAACGGGTGATTTGAGGGAGAGATCATGGCTGAGCTTAGTTAAAGAATCAGCAGGAAAATTAGCTTCCCAATAAACATGAGAGCATTTGAATTTATGACACTGGGAGCTGAGGTCAATCCGCTTCTGCAGCTGCATCTCTATACTCCAAGGAGGCTCGGATTCATGGTTGATCCAATGAACAAGTAGTGCCGAGTCAGCTTCTAAATGCACTTTGAAGTGGCAGTTCTCTAGGAACCACTTCATGCCAATAATAGCTGCTTCAATTTCTACCATGTTATTGGTTCCTTCTCCAAGTGGACTTGCTATGGCATGGATAAATCTCCTTAGATGATTTTTAATAATTTCTCCTACACCAATTTTGCCTGGATTGCAGAGGGCACTGTCCATCTTGAGAAATCCATCCTCAGGTTTGTGCCAAGTCACATGTGATGTGCATATATGATGTTGCATTGTTTCAACTGTAGAGTAAAGTTCATTCCAATGAAGAGGCCATTAAAAGGAAGGATAAGTGGCTCTGAGGAGAAGGTTGATGTCAGAGTTGATGGAGAATAGAACTCTGATCATAGATGATTGCATGGAGCCATATTTAGCACCGCATCTGTTTTTTCAAAGGTTCCAGCAAATGATAATTGGGAGTGTATCTAGGAGAAGTTTAGGTGCATCATTCCTGCTCTTCTACATCCACCATTTCATCAAAATCAATCTAAGAGGCATGGCTTAGAAAGGAAAGCTAGTTGGACCTGAGAATTGCCTCCATATTGCCTTAGCAAAGTGGCCCAAACTGAAAATGTGATCTACTGATTCAGCTTGAGGTTTGATACAGCACACACATCTAGTGACAGTAGGTTGACCAAAGGAAATGACCCTATCATCAGTGGGCAATTTGTTTCTGAGGGCTCTCCAGATGCAAAAGGACCATTTAAATGGGATTCTCTTATACCATGTCATCTTGTTGGTGAAGAAGATCTATTTCTTCTTTCTAACTGTTTCCCATGCTAATGCACAAGTGAATTTACCAGAGGTAGTTGGTACCCATATAGGTTTATCAGGGGTGTGAGGACAAAAATGGATTGGGATCTGAATGATATCAGGAATTTTGTGGATTGGGGCTTGCTTGTGGAGCTTCTGAAGATCCCAATTTCGAGAATCCCAGAATTAAGAGACAGTGATATTGCCTGGCCTTCCTTCCTTCACCATTGTTTGAATTCCATAGCCTTACAAACATCAGCCACAGTTCTAAAACCAACACCCCCTTCCTCTTGTAGATATTATAGCTTCTCCCAGGAAGCCTAATGGTATTTGTTTTCATCCTTCTCTATGCCCCAGAAAAAATTAGCAGCCAGTTTTTCCAACTGTTTCATGACAGTTTTAGGTGGTGAAACAGCTGATAGCGGGTGAATGAGGAGGGATTACAACCCATATTTGATCAAAGTAGCTCTTCCTCCATAAGAAATCATTATGTTATGCCATCACCTGATTCTGCTAGCTATTTTGGATATCAATCCATTGAAGTGTAGAATTCTTTTTCTTCCAATATAGAAGGGGCAACCAAGGTATGTGATTGGTGATTATTTCCTAGTAAAACTAGTGATTTGAGAGATCGTAGAAGCATTGTAATGGAAACACACAAGTGGGAGTCATGAAATGGCTCTTAGCCTTGTTTATCAACTGGCCAGAAGTAGTCTCATAATCCCCTAAAATTCTCATAATCTTCTGTAAGGACACCCTACTGCCTGATGTGAATATGATAATATCATCTGTAAAGCTCAAATGGTTGACTTGAGGACCCATTTTTTCCATGTAAAAACCATTGAAGAACTGGTCATTGTTGAGGGTATTGAGCATTTTGGAGAGTAGTTCTGCCCCAATGATGAAGAGGGTTGGTACTAAGGGATCTCCCTGTTTTATACCCCTAGTGGATTTGAAAAAACCATGTCTGGTTCCATTTACCACTATAGATTACCAGTTATTGGACATGGTTCTCTGGATAATGTAAATAATCATCTCATTGAACCCCATTCTTCTAAGCATGATGCATGTAAAACTCCAAGACACTCTATCATAGGCCTTTGCCATATCAAGCTTGATAACAACATTGGCCCCAATGTTTGGTTTCTTAATGACTTGGACAATCTCCTGATCCAGCATGATATTCAGAGATACTTCTTCCTCTGACAAAATCGGCCTGGTTGGCAGAGATGATGTTTGGGAGGATTGGTGCAAGCCTGGAATAAATTAGCTTGAAATGACCTTGTTAATGAAGTTGCTTAGGCTAATAGGTCTGAATTGAGTGAAAGAGTTAGGAAATTTAACTTTTTGAAGAAGAACCAAGCATGCATTTGTCATATATCTAGGCATGTCACTACCTCCAAAGAAGTCAAGAACCATATTGAGCAAAGCATTTTTTATAATATCCCAGCAGGCTTGGTAGAATTTTCCATTCATTCCATCTGGTCCAGTTGCGCTGTTTGGATTCATGGAGAAAATAACTTCCTTTAATTCACTTTAAGTAGGATCCTTGATTAGATTTGTTTTGTCTTCTGGAGTGATCATAGTAGGGATACAAGAGAGAAGATCTTCTCTAATGAGGCCCCCTTGTTTAGTAAAATGATTTTCAAAGTAGTTGCAAGCAGCTTCACCTATTGCTTCATCACCCTGGATCCAATCCCCATCTCCATCCTTGATTTTGTGAATATAAAGCTTTCTTCTTCTACCCCTTATCAAGCTATGAAAATACTTGGAATTCGCATCACCATCCTTGAACCATTGCAACTCAGTTTTTTTATTTCAGAACTTCTTCTTCTAATTTCAAGTGTCTGGTGTATTGAGCTTGTAGATCATGCAAATTCTGCCTGTCACCAGGATCATTTGACGCTGCCCATTTTTATTCTGCTTCTTTGACCTTTTGCTCAAATTCTTTGGATTTTTGAAAGATGTCACCATATTGATGCCTGGACCATTTGCTCAAAGCACTAGAAAGAGCCTTGATCTTTTGGTGAAATATCCACATAGCACTTCCATTAATAGGATCATTCCACACATCCTTAACTAGAGGCATAAAGGATTCATTCTTCATCCAACAGTTGAGGAATCTAAAGTAGTTGCAGGAAAGGAGCTTAGTCAATTGTCATTTACTCAACCTCTATCCAATCGTTTCCAAACAATAGAGTATGGACCCCTTCCATTAGACCAAGTGTATCTAGGTCCATAGAATCCCAGGTCAGTCAGTCCACAGTCCTCAATCGTGCTTAGAAAGTCAATGCTTTTGTTCATCTGGTAGGGAATTCCCCCAATCTTTTCCCCAATGGAAGCAATTACATTGAAGTCCCCAATTACACACCAAGGAATATTGCATATGATAGACCTATGTCTCAGATTCTCCCAGAGTGAAGCTCTCAATGCTGGTTTGCATTTGGCATATGCGACTGCAAGCTAAATAATTTTACCAAGTTCAACATGCTTCAGTTCCATGGTCATCTGATGTTCATCCTGATCCAGAAGAGTGCCAGTGAAGTCTTGATCCCAGAAGAGCCAAATTTTGTTATTGAAATTAGCAACAACTTGGTTCATAGAGAGCTGAATTCTGAAGTAATCATAAATCAAGGTGAGGGTTGTCCCAGAATGTTTCCAACAAAGCAATGAAGGAAAGTTTATGGATTTGTTTGAGTGTTTTGAGTCTCTCAATAGCTCCAGAGGTTCTGATACATCTAACATTCCAAGTGATTGCACTAATCATTTAGGAATGGTGGGGTTTCTTGAGTTTGGTAGATTACTGCTGCTTGAGGCAGCTTTGCTTATGGTAAGTCTGGGTGAAGGTCTCATTCTAGAAAGATTCTCATGAGTGAGTGTGGCATTGTCCTATTCAAAAGCACCATTAACTACTGCCAATAGGAGGTCACAATGCTGATTTTCATCAATACCATCACTGAACCCATCATCCTTTTCTGAAGCCCTAGTTAGCTCATCCTCAGACTGTATAGGTATGTACTCATCATCTTCCTGACCCGAAGGTGAATGTTTGTTGAAAGAGATCATCAGAGCAGACTGAATCCCTGAGTCTGGTTCAGGATTTTTTTGTAGGTGTGTTTGTGCTGGGAAGCTTATCTTTGTCAGAATGTGCCACTGCCATGTGAGTGTCATATCCATTACCAAGTTGACAATTCTCCTCATGGTTTGGAGGATGCCTTGTCATTGAGGATGATGTCTGAAAGTAGATCTCAGGAGCCTTATCAGGAGGTTCCTCTGATTGTTCAACTATACTGATACCTGTATTTTTCCTTTGGAGATCTCTTCTCTTTTTCTGACTTCTTTTATTCTTCTGTATTGTAGGTTAAATGTGAGCATCAGAAACATCATAACATTTGCCTTTGGCCATTATTTTTACTGCAAGTTGTTCTTCTTCACAGTGATCATCATCATAATGCCCATCAGGATCATGAACTTTATTTGATTGTGTACCAATGGTAACAGGGGTTTTAGAGTCATTCCTATGGTCAATCAAATATACTAAAGAACACTCATGCAAAACATGAGAAATACCCACTTCTTTTGGATCCCCATCTTATATGGTTAAGGTTGTCTCCTGACAATTCTCCTTTCCTCCAATAACTTCAGCAGTATTCACAGAGTCAATATTAACAAGGGAAAGGGAAGAGAGAGGATTCTGAGCCACAGAATCAACATCATTATCTAGGGCAACTTGAGGAAAGATTCGACCTTTATTGATTGGGTTTGTTTCATTTGGCAGTATTTGATGTATTTGAATTGCTTTGGGCTAGTTTCAAGTTGTTCGGAGGTCGGTACACACGAGATGGTATTTTTGGAGCATCGTTTGGCTTGCTCGTTATTGGATTTGGCTTGATCGAGGTAAGTAACACTTCTAAACTTGGTGCTGAGTGTATGAACCCCTGAATATACATGATATGTGTTTAGGTATTAAGGTGACACACATGCTAGGTGACGGGCATGTGGGCATGCACCGTGTGAATTATGACTCGGTTATTTCAGTGGTACTGTGTAGTTACCTAATCTTGTTTTATCCATGAGACTTCTACGTGTTAGAGTTATTGAGTTGTGATCCATGTTAGAAAATATGTTTAGGCTATATGCTGATTTTGTTGGGACCTACTGTAGTCATATCTACTGTGGAGTTATTTGCTTAAATTACATCTACATACTCAGTCATACTCATTTTCATGACATTGTGAGCCCGAAAGACTGAAAATATTGATGACTGAGTGAGGCAGAGGGCCTGTTTGTGAGTGATATTTATGAGAGCGGGCTGCACGCCGCAGCATGTTATTTTGATTTATGCCATGATTGGCTTATTATAGAACTTGGGCTGAAGGAGCTCCTTCGGAGTCTGCACATCCACAGTGGGCGCAGGTACCTATTGAGTGCGAGTGCCAAGCGATTGTGAGAATGGATTGACTGTAAGTACTGAGTGATTG